TCTCCTGTTGAGTTCGTAGGTGTTCAGAATGGTTTGATCCCTCTCCAGCTGAATTCCTGAGACCAGACAAAATCCAGGTCTCCTACGCCTCCGCCATCTTGCTCCGCCCCCCCTTTTTTTTCTTTTTAGATAAAAGTAAAGGCATCTGAAAATGCAGTATGAGTCAATATGGTATACATAATAAAATGAGATATTCTCAGGACCTCAAAATTTCTCCTTTGAAACATCTTGCTTAATAACAAAAATAAGAAAAATACTTGTATGGCTCTAGAGACAAGTCTTTTTATTTTAGGAAAAAATGAAATATTTTAAATAGCATTCTAGGTAGAATTGGTCCTAATAAAATGTGAACTAGATGGAAATTAGCCTCTTTCTACTTTATGTTATAGCACTTATTTCTCTACTCTTGGAGACCCAGTTTCTGAGTTTAGAATCTATCAGTTACTATCAGTTACTACCCTCTAGCCACTGGACAAACAAAAACCTAATAATGATATAAGATTTCGTTCTTAGTGATGATTAGATTTAAGTAGTAAAATGTTAAAGACTTGAAGTGTTTAGGATCCCAAAGAATAGTTTAATTCTGTACCTCATGGAGACTTTTTGGTTATAGACTTAACATGGTTCTCCATAAATCACAGAAATGTAGATTTGGGCTTTGACAAGGAAATTGAATATTTAGGGAAGGGAGAAGAGAGTGTAGGAGGGCACAAAAGTGGGAAATGCCCAGTGCTAATTTGAGAATATGGAATAGAGACTGAGGTGTTGGGGGGAGCATGGGAAGAATGGAAGGAGAAAACATTGGAGTGAATTCTAGTTCTAAGAGCCCCGAGTCCAGAATGGCATGCTAATGTATAAAGTCAGTATCCAGTAAACATTGTTTGAGCAGCAAAAGGAAAGAAGAAAACTCACACACACAGTATACCTACTGGCAGAAGGATGGTAGGAGAAGGCTTACATATATGAATTCATAAAATACTTAGAACAATTTCATGAGATTGGTACAGTTCTCCCCATTACGTAGGTGAATACTCTGAGGCTCACAGAAGTTCAATTTATCAAGCAGGATATAATCCCTTACTTCAAAATCCTGTGATCTCATCCAAGGCTGTATATCTAGGAAATGTTGATGCCAGCTGTCTGTGAGAGAAGTATTATTATAATTGCCCTTTTACAGGGGAGTAAATTGAGATTCAGAGAGCTTAAGTAACCTGCCTAGGGTTACCCAGCTAAGAAATGGCAGAGTGAGGATTGAAATCCAACAATCTGACCCTAGTCTGTTTTACACTACGCTTCTTGATCCAGTGTTCTTTCCTGCTTTTTACCGCCCCACCCCCCTTGATAGAAAATTGGGGAACAAAAAAATTGATTGGTTCTATTTTCTTTCTTTAATACTGTCTGCCCTTCCCTTGTCTGCCCCAAGCAGTGGCCTTACGTTGTCTGCCCCAAGCAATGGCTCTTCCTCCATTAGTTTCTTGTTCTAAGAATAGTTATAATGACCTAAACAGTAAGAGCCTAGGAATAGTCTGTGTTCTAGTCTTCGAGAAACCATCCTTTGAGGTTGTTGTCTTTTAGGGCTCCCCGTGGGTAGAAGGCCTCTAAGCATACTCAAAAGCTTACTGTGCATGGATTTGTCTTTTAGATTCATTCATTTATTCAGAGGACATCAATTGTATTGTATTCTGTACTGTATTCCAGTACCTGTGCAAGGTGTAGGGGCTGGATCAGTGAGCAAAAGGTACCTGGTTCTCCCTTCCCTTTCCCACCGCTTTATAGGTGTTTTCACATGTTGAGTCATAGGGGAGAGGAGATCAGCAATGAAGGGCCTGACTGGTCCATAAATGAGATCACCTGCCTGTCGCTACCTTGCTGACCTTTCAATCTACCTGTAAATCTGTTTCAGCCAACTTTGTACTTGGTGCTACTTCTTTCTTTTTCCTCACTGGAGAACTTTGTGGTATTATCATTCCAATGTCATTTGTCCTTTTTAGTCATCTTGAATCATTCTCTTTTGTTCAGTCTCTGGCCCCAGCCTTTCTTTTCAATAGACTTTTTTCAAAACAGTTGAAATCTGATAATTCTCTGCATTCTCATCTTTCACTGTATTGAAATTTAAGAGGACATGACCGTTTCCACTTCATTAGGCACTTCTTTGTTGGTCAGAAGTAAATCTAGAGGAAAAAAAATCTTCCTGGTCTTTTGAGGGTCAAATTTTCAATAAGTCAAGCTAAAAAAAAAAAAAAAAAGAAAGAAAAAGAAAGAAAGAAAGAAAAGAAAATGTTGTCTGACACTTACCAGAACTTTGAAATCGTCCCAAAGTACTGTATGTTACCTCAGTATCTGTTGTGTGTCTATTTTAAGAACAATTTGTCCATATTTTCTAGTCAGCCAGGCATTCAGCAGTTAGCTCTCACAGTGATGTTTTAATTTAGCTCTTTTTTTTTATCCTCACCCGTGCATCCTCTTCAGGGATTCGGCTCCTCTCTTGGAATCCCTTTTAAGATTTTTAGATCCTGTTGGCCCCCGTGCTTCCTAGTAGGAGTGTTGGATCACAGGATGCTATTTCTGCTGCAGATTATATGTCATTCTTTCTAGAAAGAGCCTCAGAGTAGTGAGAGAGATTCAAGAAACAGTTTCTTCTTTTTTCCTCAGTATCATTGTTTTTCAGTCATTACTTCTTGGCATTAGTTTTTATTCTATCTGACACCCTACCTTTTTTTTTCTTTCTGCCATGTTCAAGATTATTTCTCCCAGCTGTAGGAAAATGTTGTCCCTGAGAAGCTTGAGAGACAGGAGGCATCCTTCCATTTCCCTCATCATCTTCTCTCACAAAAGGACAACCTTAAAAGTGCAGAAAGTAATACAACCATGATAAGTGATTTATGGCCACCTCAGAATGGAATGCCCACATGGCACACTTTTCTTATGTTCCTAGAACATTTCCCGTCTTATCCATGGCTCTCAAGTCTCCCGTTGAGTTGTTTCCTTGGCAGCTTTCTCTCAAAGCTTCCCTTCTAAACCATGTAGTCCACTATTTCTTTGCTACTGGTCTCCTGGGTGTCGTAGGCTTCAGATACTCTGGACTTTAAACCAGAGGAGGCATTCTGTTCCCCTCATCACTCACCTTCCATTTCCCAGCTATTTGTTGGTATTTAGTATCAATTCACACTAGCAAGCTCAGCCCCCTTTAGTAAATAAAGGGCCACACACTGATCTTTGAGTTTTTCCCAAGTATTTCATGTATTTCTACCCCTTATCTCCAACTTCTCATTAAATTCACTCATCACTGTATTTCTTTTTTATCAAGTGTTTATAAAAATAGTGATAACTAACATTATTACCTACCAGAGTGTCAGAGACTGTGCCAATATTGTTGTTATTTTCTGGCACTGTTCTATGTATATTTCCTATATTAGTCATGGAATCCACACAACTGCCCTTATTACATTCACTCTGTTATTGTCCCTTTACTGAGGCAAAAACCTGAAGCTTAGAGAGGTTAAGTAATGTAACCAAGGTCACATTCTTTTAGGTCTGATTTTCCAACGGTAATGTAGCTTGAGTTTTCTCCACTGTCAGTCACTGTATGAGCAGTCTGAAAGAAAAGGAAAAAAAAAAATGAGAAACTATTCCCAATATAAAATACAGAGCAAAGACAAAAACATTTCATTGGTTTTGATTTCCCTAGGGACAGCCTTCAAAGTAATTTACTTCCTATTCAAGGAAACAAGATCTATCCAAACTGGGCTTTTGCTTTTTTTTTCCTTGAATGAGAAAAAATAAGTAAAACTTTTTCACCTGGTAAGGTCTATATAAGTGTTATTTGAGAAGGATGATTTAAATTAAATTAATTGTCCAGCCATTAGAATAAGCAAAATCATTTTGAAAGATTGTTAAATGCTTACTAATGAAAAGTTTGAGTCCTTGGATTATCCCATCATATAGTAATGTGTAAAGTACTCACATTGGTGCAGGAAAAATTTATAACATAATAAACAATACTTTGGCTCAAATTGTTGTACTTTAATTAAGCTTGGTCTATTGTTATTGAAATCGGCTTCTTTGCTTGTGTTTCTAATTTTTTTTTTCTTTTTTTCTTTTTGGAAAAAAAAAAATTAGCTCCTAGTCAGACTGTTACTCTGGTGACACAACCCGCGGTTACCAAGGAAACTGCCATCTCCAAACTAGAAATGCCATCTTCCTTGCTGTTGGAGGTACCCGCCCTGGCAGATTTCAACAGAGCTTGGACAGAACTTACCGATTGGCTGTCTCTGCTCGATCGAGTTATAAAATCACAGAGGGTGATGGTGGGTGATCTTGAAGACATCAACGAGATGATCATCAAGCAGAAGGTATGGGGAAAAAGAAAATCTGGTTGAGATTTTTCGTTAAAGTGAAGATTGTCCACATGTCCATTCACTCTCCCTAGACCATATTCCCACCAGTTTTTAGGCAGCTTTTCTCTGTCAGCTACACACTACCTTTACTCTGTGTAGCCTAAGTATGATCAAGAAAAAAAAAGTAATGCAGTTATCTAAAACCCATAAATTAAAATGGAATTATACAAGGAAAAAACCTTAAACCTTACAATTAGTTGGCTTAATTAAATTCACCAAACAACCAGTATTTTAAAAATCTATTTAATATCAAATAAGTAGTTCAGCTGAGCTGTTTACATTTTAAACTGTTTGTTTTGGCAGCCTGCAGCCATAATATATTACAGAATCAAATATAATAATCTGGGAATTGGTTATTCACTCTTCTGAATTGTCTGTGCCAATTTTCCTCCTACGATGATGAATATCACTGAAAGTTAGCTATAAATTTTTAGAAAAGGAAAGTACCAAACATAATATATTTTTAAATACCTTAGATCTTAATATTGGTGTTTATGCAATGCTATAGTCAAATAAACATGTTTTTAATATAAAGACTGCATTTATCAACCTCTTGGAATCCATTCCACAAAATCCTGACATCAGTTAGAAACATAGGAATACATTGATATAAATCTGACTGACCTAGTTAAAACAAATGCACTGTATATCTTTTATATTTCTGAGTGAATAAGAAAAATAGTTTTGAAATATTTATGTGCTGTAGTTATTTCACTGGTAAATGATTTTCATATCTTTTCTACAGAAGTAATAAATTGCATTGAAGGTATTTAGTTGTTACAAAACTACTTTTTGAAAAAAGCAGGAGTAAAGCAGACAGATTTCTTTGTAAAATGAACTTTAGCAATTCAGTAGGAATAAAAATAAGTGGATAGTAAGCAATCTGCATTTAAAGTACCTTGATTTGAGACTCAGGAGATGTGAATTAAGTGTTCTGTGTCGTTTGCAAATGACATGATTGTGGTCAACTCATTCTCTGGATCTTGGTTTCCTTTTCTGGGCACAGGATGCACAGGTTCACATTCATATTCACCACATAGTGATGGACATGTGTGTATATAAAGATATGTAACTATTATATAAATATGTATAATTCGTTTCACTGCTCTTTTAGAACAAGTATTAGTAGGTGCATTCTTCAGCACAAGCCATTGAGATGTCATACTCCTAGTAGGTAGCAGAGCAAAGATTCAAATCCAAGTCTGTTTGGTTTCTAAGGCTAAGTATTCTTACTTGCTACATATACTGCTTGCTAGTATTAATGTAAATGTGGCTACCATTTGGTGATACATATGTTTTTATATATACAGTCTATGCCAGACACAGTACTAAGCATTTATGGTTTCACTGCACTGATACATGCAGAAATAAGAGATTAAGTTCTTGCACAGTATTGTATCAAGTTATACTAATACTTCCAAGACTATTACTAAGCAGAGGAAACGATGTGTTACAGTGTTTAAAGCAAGGGCTTTGGAGATAGATGCTCTGGGTTCAAAGCTTGGCTCCTCTGCTACAGTTGTAGACCTTTGATGTGTTATTCAACCTCCCTGAACCTGAGTTTATCTGTACAATGTGAATGATGATACTATCTTTGCCTTATAGGTTGTCATGAGGACTACATTAGGTAGTACACGAAAAATGCTTCCCATCCTGCCTTGCTCAACTAATGTTAGTAATTAATATTAGATTATAAATCTGCCTGCTCACAGCATTTGTAGCATGCAAACTGATTGTCATATAATGATATTACATGAAAACAAGAGCTCATTTCCATATCTACACCCCATTCTGCCACTGGCATTGTGGTCTCCTGTAAAAGCCACTGAGTATTAGGGGGGAGAGGAAGTCCACACTCCTTTGTGATCCTAGCCTTTAGGATCTGCTTTAGAATCTACCTGCTCAGCAGTCTTCAGAAAAATAAGGTTATATTTTTTTCAAAATGACTACTAATTTGATGCCTCTTCAAGGTGATAGTCTTACAGAGAGATCCAAAATTAATTCAGAGGAGAAGTTCAAGTGCCATGTCTAGGGTCACAGGGTCACAGAAAGCCAGGAATTTTTAAATGCCACATATATACATATATATATTTATATATAGCATTCTATGTATTGTATGCTTCCCACCCTGCCTTGCTTACTGAAAGCAAGTAAGAGATGATGAATCTATCTCATATATATATATATGTCATATATAATATATGTATATCATAGATATGCATTTTTAATTTTTAGTTTTATATATTTTAAATGTTATATATATGAATAGAGCTATGTATATCATATCTGTATATGTAGATATACATAGAAGTATTATATATATATAAAACTTTCCTTCTCTTGCTGAATAGTGGAGTGCTTTTCCTGCTTCTTCCCCTCATATTAAAAAAATGATTTGTAAAAGACACTGTCAGTTCTTGCCTTTTAGAGCTTTCTATCACTAAATGGTCAGTAAAATAACTCTAAGTAAACATTAAGCAAGTGTGTGTTGGGTGGGGGGCAAAAAAGAGATAAGTTTAGGGAAGTATTTATTACAATATCAGGGAGTAAACATTTTTCTCTATGTAAAGTTTTAAACAGAACAATCCTAACGTTTATATTTGAAGTGTTGGAAATGAGGTACTATTCCAAAAGGACTTTATAAACTGCAAAACACTATCAGTGCCTATTTATTCATATGTTCATTTAACAAATTTTATTGAGCTACTACTAAGTGCCTGGGAAGTACAGAGTTGGACAAGATAGCAATGCACAGATTAAAGGAGGTGAAGGAAAAAAACAATAATAGCACTATGATAGAAATAAATTACAGGATAATACCTAGCACATATTTAACAATGAGTATATGCTAGTCATTTTTAAGTACTTCACGTGCATTAGTTAATGCTCACAACACTGTGAGATTGATAGTAAAGCACAGTGAGGTTAAATAACCTGCCCAAGGTCAAGTAGTAAAGAGACAGCAGTGGAATTTGAACTCATGCAGTCTGATTCCAGGGTCCCCACTGTAGTTTTTACCTCCCTGGGCATGTTTAGGGGATTCTCTAGGACCTTACTTCAGGAAGAGGACATCTGACTAAGCCAGGGAAGAAAATGGAGGTCAGGAAAAATTTCTTGAAGAAGCTAAAACTTAAGCCAAGTATTAAAGAACAAGTTGGAAATAATCAGGTGGATAAAACAGAAAGGTGACTCTGGCAGAAGAGACAAACTCTGCTTTTCACTGAGGTGGAAAACAATGTAGTGTGTTCTATAAATTGTGATTCCATGTGGCTGAAATTAAGGCGGTGAGGCAGAAACTGATGAAGTTGAATAGAGAGGGATGGGGGCTATGAAATGAGGATCTTTCCTTGATAGAACAAGGAGTTCAGTTATGGTTTATTGTTTGCATATAACACCCGGTGCTCCATGCAATACGTGCCCTCCTTAATACCCATCACTGGGCTAACCCATCCCCCCACCCC